TGGCTTAGAATAATAACGCATAGAAACCTAGTCCGCGCACGCTAATTGAGGCAAATTGAAGCGCTCCCAATTTGCCTACACTAGCGGGCGGGACGTCAGTGCTCAAGGTCAACTTGCACCGCGAACAGCTCAAGAATTTTAGCTAAAAATGACGAAATGTGCGGTAAATGAGTGTAAAAATACGTCAGACAAACATAAAATAGATACTAACATCACATTCTACAAGGAAGTAACGCGTTTCAACTTGTATTTTTATATAAATATTCACTAAAACCGAAAATTAACCTACTACTAAAACTAGCCTACATGAATTTGATTTATGCCTCACTTGTGACAGTTCGTTTGATATGAAACTATCATTATATGCGTTATTATTCTAAGATGCATAGTAAGTGAGTGAGACTCAAAAATACATAAATAGTTGGTACTGTATCAAGCACTACCATCGTTCAAACGAAAATGTTTTCTGTGGCTGTTTGAAAAGCAATCTCGGAACGTAGGCTGTTTGTGTATCTGTTCTGTGTATATTTGGTATTGTGCAATATAAATTTACTAATATTGTTATTATTCAATTTGATTATTTTCATGAGTAAATATTGTATCTGTCAAATTTAATTTATGATTATATGTGTATTTGAATTTTTTTTTTAATTTTGGTGTTCTATTTCTGTGACAGGCCATGGCAGAATATCAGCGAGGGCTATGTACTTAATTAGCATAGTCTTCAAATGCTTAGTCATGGATCTTTTTGATATGCTTTTTTTGCTTACTTGTTTTAATTTTTTTTCTATTATTATTATTACATTTTCCTATTTTTTTCTGTGTTTTTTTATGAGCGAATTGTTTGATATTTTATAATCGTTTGTACTTTATAATGTATTTTGCATATCAAACAAATACGATTTTATTTTATTTTACATATTTTTAATAAAATAGTCAACATAAACTAGATTAAATCAACAACAACCTAAGAATCAATTTCCGTCAAAATTGTGCCAAAAAAGATTATAATAGGGACTCCATTCTTAGAAAATAACAAGCACGTGCATTCGAGGAAGTACAATAAAAAAACGACCTTACTGTAATGCAATATTACTCACATTACAACCGACTCTTCACATTGAATATAGTGACGTGTAATACGTTCTCGGAACACTTTCAATTATTATGACTCATTCGTTGAATTTAGACGGAAGCACTTGTTATTCTTAATATGCGTCTATATATTACGTAGCCTTACGTATACATATATAGGCATGCAAATGGTCATTATGTGTGTGTAAGTGTACCCGAGAATTTTTTTCCAAATTAAGTATCTAAAACATTTTTACAACATGTATAACCACCGCTCATCATGTCTATTACTTAGCATAAGAATGAACAATAAAATACGTCTTATTGTAACATTGTAATATGGAAATAGAATTCTTTTTTTTTTTCACTAACATAAATATTCTTGGCATTTACAAACAAACGAAATTCAAACGTGTATTGTTTTGTTACTTTCGTTATCATCCATAATAATATTTCATTTCCGTTTTTTTAACCAGAATGTAGCGAACCGCTTTTTGATATTTACAAAAATCCTAATTTCAAACAGGGAAGATGACTAATGTAATAATTTATCTCATGAGAAATCCCAAGCACATATATAAGACTGCAGTACTACCAATTAATATGTTTTAATTCTAATTCCTTCTAATTCATAAAAAATCAATATGTTAAAATAATTGTCATTCGTATGTAGGATAAATTGGAATAATAAATTGAATATAGGAAATGAAACTATTTTTCCGGATTTAAATCGCGTATATTTGTTTTTTCAAACAAACCGACGTTTCGGGCCCTTTACAGGTCCCATGGTCACGGTTGACTGAGGTGGTACAGTCTTCAACCAGTTAGGCCTAATATTAATGCAAACCACCCTATTTTTTCACTATAGTTACAATAGTTATTAATTAAATACCTTATTTATAATTTTACAAAGAAAACATCCATGACATGCTCGCAGAGAATAGGTTGGATAAACCTACACATTCAATGAAGTTTGACAAACCCTAGGTCCTTGCAAAAGAAGTCCGTTATCTACCCAGGATGCTGCGAGAGGCCATTGAAATTAAAAAACATCCTAATTTCAACAGGGAAGATGGTTTCTCCGTACCACCAGTTTGGGATCCAGTATTTCCTCTAATGAAAAATCCCAAACAGACATAAGACTGCAGTACTAATTAATATGTTTTAGTTTATTCTAATTTCTATTAATAATTAATAATAAATTAAACTTAATAAAAATTCATTCAATAAAATAATTTGTAAAACTTAATGTAGCGTAAATTGGAATGTTTTCTTTGTAAAATTAAAAATAAGGTATTTAATTAATAACTATTGTAACTATAGTGAAAAAATAGGGTGGTTTGCATTAATATTAGACATAACTGGTTGAAGACTGTACCACCTCAGTCAACCGTGACCATGGGACCTGTAAAGGGCCCGAAACGTCGGTTTGTTTGAAAAAACAAATATACGCGATTTAAATCCGGAAAAATAGTTTCATTTCCTATGTGTAACAATCGCGAAAACCTAAGAACTCGATATAATAAATTGAAGTTCGAAACGTGAACTTGTTTGAAGAAAAAAAATAAATATACGCGATTTAGGCCAAAAATGATTTTGATTGAGAATAATCTACTGAGTGAATCAGTAACGACGATCGTTAAAGACAACATTATTCTTATTTCATCAAAAACTAGCAACCTATTCTCTAATTTACTATCGAATACAGTTTACTTCATTATTTTATCATCGTTAATTATCATAGAATTTTTTTATTACTTTTGTTCTATTACCATGCAATTACTAATATTACTTTTTTACATTACTTTTTATATTTCTAATCACTAATACTTCGATTGAAGAACTTGAATCCAAGGCCGTGAAATATATTTCAAAAAATAATAATTCTGACTAAAGACGGAAAAAAACTGCTTATAAATTTATAACGTTAAAAGGTTGTACTGTACTTATAAAAATAACTTTTCACATAAACGGTTTTTAGTTTGAAACTTACAAAATCGTTTAAGCCCCATAGACTTCATGTTAAAAAAGCTTCAGATAATACGTTTATTAATAAAACAAGAGTTTTATTTATAACACTATTGTTGATAATGACGAATTAATTTGTTGAGGAAACATAAATGACGGGTCTTAAAAAAAAAAATTAAAAATGAAATTGTAGAGTACTTAACAGAACAACGCTTACAACTTAAAATTCTAAGCGTGTTTGTGTTTATGACGATAAGCAATTTTTTTCAGTGCTTTTCGTTTAAATGCCACGTCTATTTTACCTCTAATTCCTACTATGACTAGAAATTAACCAATCAGATCCAAGAACATTGCCAGCCTTCTGAGCACGATGCCCCGAGGTAGAAAAATTTTATATTTTTATCTGCTGTACCATATTAAGCATGTTTAGCATGTTATTTATAGACGTATTCAAATTCATTCAAGATAACTGTTACTAAGTAATACACATACATAACACATTTTAGAATCATTCAGCTAAATTACATTACACAGCAGCTAACTCACTGGTCAGTTTTTATTTAATCAAATAATCAACTGTACAAAAGCTGTTAAACGCTATTCTGGTGATAGGTATGAACATGGCATAAAAAATGCATTAATAAGAAATAATAATTCTACGGTAAACATTATTGGTGACAAAATTCGTTACCATAACAGAGCCAAAAGATAGGTTGTAGCCGTTACTTAAGGCTATATACAGAAATAACCCTCATCTCTGCATTACCTACATACTCCCATTAAATTACCTCAACAATCAAGGTTATTAGATGTTCCTGTAGTTTTACAATATAAATTGCTGTTGAAAAATAACCAGGTATTCGGTTAATAGCAAAATTATGCTTTTTCGACTGTAATACTAAGTTTGCATCATGATCTTAATATGATTTGCGTAAGTCAGTTTGGTTTTTGTGCAATTTTTTTTTATAGGCTAATACTTTGTTTTATCTAATAAAAAATGTACAATTTTTTTTTAATTTATGTTATTCCTTTTTTAAAGCTTTTTTAACGTTGGTGTTTATTTATACATTTTAGCCTATAAGAATATGAATACTTTCGAGTTGTCTATGCTATAATATGAGAGCAATACAAATATTATTATAATGAAGACAGTACCAGTTATTGTTGTTGTGCAGGGCTAGATTAAGGGTCTCACACAATATGTTGAGTTTGTGTTCTAGGTTGTACATGTTACAATAAACCTAAATGGCAGTGAGGGACAAGTGAACGCATAAGTTTGTATCTCGTTAGCTTATTCCAGAGATTCGTGTGGCAAGTGCAATGTTGGAAAGGATGAATGGACGATAAAAGGCTGAAGCTGCTAGATTGATTTCATAATGTTATTTGTGTTGTTATTATTGTAGTGAATTTTGTATTGCAGAGAAATCTCTAGACGATTTTTGCTCTGCAAATATTTAGCTTATACAATATTGGCAACAGCATTTTATCACAATTTCAAGTGACGGTATGGTCAAAATGAAGCATTGTTGTGATTTTTTTCATTATAAATAAATAGAGGTAAGGAAAAACTGAGTATTACATTTCAATTGAGTAGTGTTTATCTACAACTTTAAATTCAATATAGACCACATTATCAAGCCGGCCTGAAGGAATATTTCTTTGTGTTTGTTAAATTTTTGTTTCAATAATATTATTATGACATATATCAAACTAATGGAGTATTTTCACAAAAAATATGGATATCATGGTATTAAAAGCATGATATTCAATATGATAAATAAGGATCACATTGTTTGCATAATTTTGCCCATACCATAAAACAGTGAAACATAGACATTAAGAAATATAAATTTCAAAGACCTCCAGGATAAACTCCTCCCTGCCACATCTTGAATAAAAGCTGCAGAAAAAGAAATAATTATATTTATTTTAAAATAATTAAGTAAAGGTATACATACACATAGTGTTGTAATTTGTTGTTTCTTTGGTGTTAATTTTTTTGGTAGCCGTCTTTAAAGATTGCACTGCACTTACGGAGAACTGAACTCAGATAAGCTGAAACAAAGAGAATAATTATTGTATTTTTGATGTAAATAATATTAAAATTAAATATTGTCAGACATCATCCATAATATTACTATAATGTTAGTAATTAATTATAATATAAGGAAAAAGGAGGGTGTATAACATATATTTATACATACACATTACATATAATTCCGGATATGGGTATACATGTTGAGTATTTCCATTTCATATTTTTGGCTGGGGCCTACACACACATATGCAATCATCTTCAGGATTATGTTAGTCTGCAGCGCGATCAGCACCTCATTAAGTACGCCTTGTTACGCATGATCGCGAAATTATTAATACGGGTCAGACAAATGTCACACACAACAAAGCCTGAAGATGTTATATTCAACATTTGCTGTATAAAATTGTTTCCAAAATTTTCACGTTCCTATTGCGAGAAAACCATAATCTGCATTCTTGCATTACCACTACAGACTTTATTTAATAGTTACAAGAGTAGTTAAAAAAATATTCTATTTTAATACAATGATGATTAACAAAAACATAAATTGTTCTAAATTAATACAATGTATGATTCACAATATACAAAAGTAGTGTAATCTGTGACTTGTGAATTCCCCACACGCACTATACATGATTGTGACAAGTAAAAACGTGCACCGTGTCAGTCTTTATTGTGATCAAGCATGTTTCTCGATATACATGCTAGTTACCCTAGAAAAATGTCTGCTACCGCATGCTCCTGAAGTTAGTTACCTTACATTTGATAGTTATCATACATTTGCTTGTTACTTACTGGCATGGGAATTTGACAACTGTTTATTTTTTGATTTGTGTATATTTTCTCCTTTTCAATTAAAGCATGCCAAGTTGATTTACTTTGACTTATAGCCTTATTAACTAAACCAGATAGTGGCATAAGTGTTCAATCCTAGAGCACCAATGTTCACTTTTGTTACGATTGTGACAGCTCCATGTGAAAGAGTTCGTCTAGGGTAGTACTGCCTGTCTGCTGTCAAGCAGCAATGTGAGTACAACTGTATTTAAATTTTGAAGGGCAATGGTTCTGGTGAAACTATAGGCATATGGAACTTGTCACTTTATGTATTTATGGAAGTTTTTATAAATTTTTTACATACTTTGCTTAAAATGCTTGATGATAAAGATAAAAATCATAAGATTGTTCTAGACTCAGTTACATAAAACCTTTTTATGATTATCGGCTTATCAATTGTTGATGACACTTGTTAAACAATAAAGATAAAGAAGACAATGACAGTATCTCCATTCATAAGCAAAGATAGGTAAAATATATTTAATACAATAAAAGTAAAGAAGCTTTGGCACTGGGCAAGAGTGACAACAGAATGATGATTAGGGCTCTCATGGATATTGTCGTTTGATTAAGCAATGTCCAAATTCAAATTAGCAGAGACTAGCTTCTGCCGTGAAGTGGATGGGACTATTTTACACTATCTTAGCCAAACACAAAAAAAAATCCTGGGTGATTGCTTGGTATCTTGGCTTATTCGGTTAATCATAACCTAGATGATATTGCTTCCATGCAATGCTGCTAAAATAAAACCACAACTGTCAAAACTGGCAAAATTAACAAACAGTGTTGAAAATTAAAAAGCTTTTTTTTGGATCTAAATAGCTTACATGTTTTTACCAATCAAGCTAACTTGAAAGAGCCTCTCGCAACACACGCCAGTAACAGCTAAGCACAGTAATGCAGTGCCTATACTGACTAATTCTTCCCAACACTATGCTTCAACCGATGATCAACAGCCCCTACTGACACAATAAAAATGGAGAATCGAGCTAATTTTTCAGACTCTTTACGGGTTCCATGATCACGGATGAAGGTCGTGAAATGATAAATCATGGAAAGCTACGAATTCTGGAAATTTTATATACTTAGGTGTGACTCCCTACAGCAAGAATAAGTTTTGACGCTCATGCATTAAGACTGGGAATTAAATTGGCTCAGTATTAGAATATAGAACAAGAGGAAGCGAGCTTTTTTTTTTAACAGATGGGATAGGCTCAAATACTAAAATTTCAAGTTGAGGAAATGGCGAGTCTTCAACTTTTTTAAATATTACGAAATTAAATTATAGCAAAAAAAAATGCGATGAGAAGGATTTTGAAAGAGTGAAGACAGTCTAATCCTTCAATATCTAAATACTGAGGGACCTGAGAAACAAAAATTTGTTTCAAAATTAATACTAAGTGTATACCTACAATGTATGTTTTCAAATTATGTCCAATAATCAAATTAAGAAGTTAATCAGGACATTCCGCCCAGTCGCTTTAGTGCCGTGTCAATGTCCATGTTTCGGCGAAATAATTTGACACTAAGGACCTTTAGTACATAGTAAATATACTGTTATGAACTTCGTAGTTCGTACATACCGACGTTTAAAGGTAATTATTATAGGAAAGAAACATCATTTTCGACTAATTATGATGAAATTTCGAAGGTGGATCTGGCACCATATTAGAAGCCTTTCGCGCATAATAGTGATTGGTTCATTTATATTGTTAAATGGCTTTCTTTCGATTATTCTAGTATGCAGCAGATTCTAGTTTACAGCAGAAGATATATTTTCTGAATATCTTTGACAGGGAATACCCCACATTGTTCACGGAAAAGTATCTGGAACTCGATAGAACATACGAGACGAATGGCGTAATAAATCATCGATCTGTTTACAAAATACGAATTTAGAATGATATAAAATACAAGAAACTAACCCTTTTATACGCTTACTGCCTGGGAAATCGCAAAACTTCCAGAAAAGAAAACAAACACTTAAAAAATCGAACAAAATTATTTTCACAGCACAAAAACACTCGTCCACTTCCGATTCTATTCAACAATAAAAAGCACATAAAAAGCACAAACCTCAAACCACTATTTTCTGTTTCGAGTGTCGAATTCGTAACACAGTTTGCGTGACTGTTATTGGTCAAAAACACGATTCCCTAATTTCATTGGTGGATAAGAATCCATTGCGTTCATTTAGGTTGTGTTTTCTTTGCACTCTTCATTTTCAATAATAACAGACGTTGCGAATAGTATGATGTTCATTTTTTCCATCGTCTAAGATGATGTTAGCATGGCATTTATTTACATGGGAAACTTACGTATTTTTAATGTTAACTGCAATGATCTTGGTTAGAAACTGTTATTTGTAATAGCTGACTGTATATGTGTATAAATTTAACAAATAGCAACATTTTCCTTAATCTATATTGTTTATGTTATTATCAATATTATAACCTAAAAATGCACATTAAAGCGGTGATTGATTAAAGTTTAAACAATACTGAATTACACTAGAGCTTAAGAACCATGAATCTTATTATAACAACTAGTGTATATCGTAGTCAAGCCAAAGGTAACCTATTTATTATGAGTTTTGATCATTGTCCCTAAGTTATGTATTTAAGTTTGAAGCGCAAATGTTAAACATGTTTTAGTGGCTGCCAGGATTTTCAGTAGTTCTTCAGTGGCGTCTACTAAAAATTGGCGTGTCTCTAAAGGGCTGTCAGTCAACAAGAACGCTGAAGGAATCCTCACAGACGGACCTGATTACACATTTCTAGATGGCAGGCCTACTCCGCTACTGGTAAGCGCTTAGTTCCCAAGCAAACCACGGATAAAACCATCGGCAGACGCTGTGAACTTTCGCTCTAACGATAAATAGTAAATAAGTAAGATAAATTTATTTCAGTATAACTTAATCTAGTATAATACAAGTAAAACAAATTGTTGCCTTAATTTCTCAAACTCGTATCTTAAAGCACAATGTTACTGAAATGCAAAAAAATGGATTATATGTACAAATTTTGCAGACTGATTTCACATCACATTTCCTTCATATTCACACATTGGCAAAAGCCAGTAAATTGACTATTCATAAAGTAATGAATCTAAATAAAGACCCTTGATAAGAAATTAAAAAAGGTAATATAGCATATTCAAAACGCTTGCATACGATTTTGTTATAGAGTTCCACCGAGAAGTCACATAACACCTGCGTTAAACCAACACGGTGTTCTGAATATGGAATCGAGAAGAATTTTACATTTTTCTACATTGATGCACTCTGTTGTCAGATACAAAAGTCCACCTTATCTATATTCACAATTGAAGTGGCATACTTACTCATATAATTCACGCAGGATAAATAGTTTTTTATTGGTAACACCTTTTCATAAAACAAGAGCCTTTGAGGGTAATTTCCGGTATCAGGCATCTAAATGCTGGATCAATCTGCCTCCTCCACTCAGACAAAGGATCTCTAAATCAACATTTAAAAAACATATAATACATATAATAGGCTTAAAAGGAAGGATATACATGTACCATTTCCTCGGGACTCAGTCGACGCCGATACAGGAATGACTGAAAATCAGCGTCTGTTTCGACCGAGATAGACAAATTGCTGAGTCGTATCCTTTTCGTCGCTTGAGCCACTACGCACACTTACTAACTTAAATTAATTAGTCACTTGTTGTTTTCTTTTTAGTTGTAATTTTAGATATAAGTGTGTGTAGTGTTTCAAATTCAGTGAATAAACTTCTTTCTTTCTTTCTTTTTCTTAAATTTAAAATAAATAGAAAAGCTATTACTTATAGTATATAAAATAAGCATTAAGAAGAGAATCTAAATTATACAATCTTCATAGTAGAGCTTCATTTTAATATTAGAACCTAATGTGTATTGAAGATCAATTCAAATAAGATTGAAAGATTCGTGACATGCATGTATTTAATTTATAGAAGTGGACTTTGAATGTTCTCTGTTAAAAACATATCAAACACGTAAAGTTTTAATTGCTGATTGTGTTTTCGACACTAAAACGACCGTGCTTTGTATCTTGAATAAAACTGGAGTCGAGACTCAACTATATTATTTATTTCCAGCATAAACAAAAACTTCGTATGCTCAAACAACAAGGACATGCGTCTCGTATCGTTGAACTAATTTCCGAATTGGATTTCGCCAAAGACAGATATCAGAAGATACAGCGAGAAAATGAAGCAGAGAAACATCGCATCATTAGTAGTCGCTTGAAGCCAAAAGGCAACGCACTATTGAAGAATAAATGATTCTTCTAAATTGTTAATTATATTTTAGTTCTACTGTTAGTTTGTAAATAAAATGTTATTGCAATGTACTACTATTATTTTCAAGCAAGTGTATTATATAGCGTAATTTCGGGGATATTGCAATTACATGTAACTAGCATTGGATTATGAGTCTCCGTTTTGGTAATTTTGTGGCTACCAATGAGGTTTATTGTTGTGCCAACCATATTAGCGTGATTTACGGGAATCTATTGTTATCAATCCGTAGACAACATAAATCATGCTTACTGTACAAAAATGATAACTTTAGATCATAGCCATTGAAGTTGTTACTTCAATGGCTATGATCTAAAGTTATCATGTTAACTCCCTCTCCTGTATAATTTGGCTTGGTGCAGATACTTTTATCAATGCTACATATGCAGATTTGCACTCTGATGATAGGTTGTATTAAAGCAACCAAAATAGGAACAAATCTACAGTCCATCTGTTTAGGTACTTAAATAAATGTAAACAATCTTGAGATGTCTATTTAATGAAATATACATTTATAAAATGATTTTCCCTTACCTTCAAATACAAAATACAAATGCTTAGCTTCATATGAAATTGCATGCCTATTTTTATACCTATCGATTTGTAAAGCATGTGTTTCAATAAAAAGATGTATCAAGATTGTTTACATTTAGTTAAGTACCTAAACAAATGGACTATAGGAGAGCATTGGATCATTATTATTATGGTTTAAAATTGGATTTAAATAAACAACATTATCAATGGGCAGACTAAAGTGTTCCAAATGAGTAGATAAATATTTATATGTACTTTTCATTAGCTACTTCACTAACATAGGCGCCGGAGGTCATATCATGAGATGAAGTTACTGTGAGGGGGTGATGTGCTTGAATATAAAATTATCTACAATATCCACACATTACTTAAAAGTTTATGAAAACAATGTTTACTTTGTAATTATAATAGAGAGTACATACAATAAACTCATTTGAAAATAACGAGTAAATATTTCAGTGAGCTCATTCTAATTGAGCAACCAAGATTTCATGGAGGGGACAGCGCGTACGCAGTCCCCACTACCAAAAATTACGCACCCGAGTTATCCACATTAGGGATAATCGCAGGGGTCAGCTCAACCGCAGTGCAATGGAAGAGCCTCGCCCTGGGGGAACCGCCTACTTGATCACGGTATCCCCTGTGCCAGGTAAGTATGAGTTCACCAAATCTATGGGCGAATGTCATTCGCCGAGGGAAAATCTTAACACCGCGATGCAGAAATCGCAACAAACGGGTCAATGCCATCTAGCGATATTTTGTGGAATTAAAATAACGCAAGAAGTCTCCCTCCCTCACTACGAGCATTATGTGGAGAATTTAATAAATTAATATGGCAGACTCAAAATAAAAATAATTATCATGTATCAGTTATCTTAAATAATTAATAAATACTTATTTTTTGTGATGAAATATGTATCGTATTAATACGGTAATTTTCAATAACGACACGTATGTAGAATGTCTTTTTTACCACTGGATCATTACAAGCTGATGTTGGATGTAGCAGTAAACGTTGTTGGATCGAAAATATATCTGTATTTCATAAGTCATGTCACTACAATAGTATTCATTTGCTGTTTTTCTAATAAAATTTATCTCAACGTTTTTAATATTTGCTAACACTACAGAGTTTGCGTACACCTAACACCTTATGTATGTGTAATGTTATAACCTTATAAATATAATCTTACGTTACAGCACGAAATCCGAGTAGAAAGACAAAGACAAATTATGAAGGTACATAATTTTATTAGTCAAAAACAAACGCACTTTCTTCAAATCTTACATAACTACTTTGTATAAAGGGTGTCATGTGATGCAAAAAGGTTTAGTGAAAATACACCTGGCAAACGTAGTCTAAAATATTTAGTTTTAAATTGAGGAAAAAATATTAAGTTGCCAATGCAATTTTGTCATAGCTATCATTTTATTTATAAGCTTAAATTTTAACTAAACCAAAATGTCTATTGTTTGTAAAATCAAAATTTTCCAATTCATCAAGTTAAAACAATACTTTAACGAGGCTCAACTATCGGCTTGTTTCAGCTTCAAATACTGTGAGCGCGGCGCCGTGTGTTAAAGGACAGTCGAGCAGTCATGCGAAATGAGTTTAGTATTTGACGCTTTAAAATCTGTGTCAAACTCATTGACTTACAATTATAGTCAAACTCTTTTTATTTGAAACGAAACAATATAAAATTGACATCCTCATGTTTACTTAACTAAACAATAAACTCGATAAGCGAGTCAAAAAGAATTCTAAGACGACAGTAGCGCCGCCGCCGCCTCACAGGTAATTAAATTATAGTAAATAATATATCATGCGCTGCCAATGCCATCTAGCGGTACTTTATGGAACTAAAGATAAACGCCAGTGGCGCCCACTACTTCACTTCGTGACTTTATTTTTTAGTAAACTAACAGTACACTCTTGCTTATTCCTTGTAGATAAAGTACGTAATCCTATTACTTAATACAGTTGGTTAGTTTAGAAATATGTAAATTAAACGTCACAGCATTAAAAAGAGTGAATTGAGTAAACAGTTCAAATTATAAGGAAACTAATACCTGTCTAATTACAATTAAAATAGTGTCATACTGCGTAGCGAAAAAACTCCATTAATTCTTATGTCGTATATGTTACATTGTGTAATATGACATTAGTAGTTAATTATCATTTATTCAATCATCTTTGAGAACGTGTAGGACAATATCACTAAAAGTTCTGTTAATCTACTTTCCAAGCAATAATCATCTAAATGGGTTGAAAAAAGTCAGCGCGGTTTGTAGCGGACTGTATCATAAGGATTCGCGTGCTAAATAAACAATACTCAATACTCAGTCATTTATTGCACTCCATAATTATAATATCATCTTATGGGCCCAGTAGGGCATGACAATACTAGAGGTGTTTTATACATGCATAAAAAATCGGGATGTACAGTTATCGCTTAAACCTTGCTATCTATTCTATATCATAATATTCTATTTAGTTACATATTTATTCATTATTTAATATCAACAACTACAACAACAAATTCAACTTAACATGTTATCAGTTATACGTTGAACTATTATTTAAACAATTGGAAAGTTGAACTAGCAGGATGAATTTCGTTCAATAAGTTCAACTTTTTGAAAAGTTGTACCTAGTTGAACTAATTTGAATATTTGTGTCCGATTAGTTCAACTGATTGAACTTATAGTTGAACTTAGTGGAATAGACGTATTAAAGGGTGAGCAAGGCTTAAGCAGAGAATAAAAAAATAACTTTACAGTTTATCAAAATCAACAAGCTAAAGGTTTTTTATGATAATATTTTTTATGATAATAGTGATGGGATGAACAAGTCGTGCGCCTGATGGTAAACGATACGCATGTTCATAACAGTTGCAGTGCCACTCAGAGCTTGAAATCGCAAAGATCGAGGTGCACTGCTTCTGCGCCCATCACCCTCCCGCTTTCTCTCTTTCACAAGGAGCTCTACTGCTACTAAATAATAACGTAAAAGGTACGAACGAAACTGAGAAAATAATGACAATAACAAAGATAAAGGCGCCAAAAACAAGTACATTTAAATTTGGAATCCCAATGTAAAACTAAACTGCTAAGACTATAAAAAAAAATATGTAGAAAAAGATTTATAGCGACTGCTGTGATTAGCTATACACGGTTTTTTCTAAGGGTTTTTGCCATGTTTTTGCCGTAAGCTAACTATAAATAAAATTAGAACTTTTTTCTTTTAAAATCTTATACTGTCTATGGTCATTTTAAGAATAAGCAGGAAGGTTTTAAACTTATAATTCATGAAAAACGCCAGAACTGGTGAATCGTAAATATGTCGTATTTCATCATGATAATGCCAAACCACACACTTCTGTATGCTGTCTCATCTACTGTATTCGCCCGACATAGTCCCCTCAGGTTTTTGACTTGTGTCGGTCTTTACAAAATTATTTCATGATGAGATGATACCATCGAACGACGTTTAAAGCTGTATTTCATAAGTAAAGACAGGATTTTTTATGAAAGGGAAAAAGATTGTAGATCAACATGACTAAGAAAATAATTGATTGATATTTATTTTTAAATGTTTTTCATTTATCGCTCGCGAGATATCGCTCGTACTTTGCGGCCAACCGAAAATAGGAAATAATCACATGTTCAGACTTAGCATAAAACATTGCACATAGGTTAAGTACGGTCGATAACTATAATACAAAGTCGATGACCATTGGTAAAAGTGTAATCTCAAAAACGACTGTCGAGATAAATAAATAAACGTATTTCATACATGTTAAAAAATGCAAATTTAAAAAAATGTTGAAAAATCATTGTTTCACAAATTTTTGAATAGTTAGTAATTAATTTATTTAAGTATGTTTAACCACATTGTAACCTTTTGCTCAATTGAGACTCGTTTCGAGCCTGCAATCAAACTGTTTACCTATTCAGTTTTGTAGGACTATGTTTAGCAGTGGCGAGGCGTCCATATAACTCACTTCCCATCGGCTTGCCTAAAATTTAGCACCTGCCTAAGTTTTAGTAGTAACTCACTCAATTTTATGCTCAATTTTATGTGTAGAATAACTTAACCAGTGAAATGAAGTGTACTTGTATCTTGTGTGCTAACAAATGTTACGTTTAAGTGTCACCAAGGCGCCACTTTTTCTTAAGGTAGGTGTTTATTGCTTTGCTCTGGCTTTAGTAACAACAATTTTCAAGTCTCGCCCACGATGCTTAGTTAAGAAAATTGTACTCTTTTTTAAATTCTAAAAAAAAGGACTTAGGTCGCTTAAATAGTATATTAGGTCGTTGTTGATCGTGTTAAAATGCAATATAGAAGAAGCACGCTGCTGTGTATTAAGTAGAGCGTAGTATACAGATAGAATCCAGAATATGTATGTACCAACTTATGAGTTTTTGAGTCGCATTTAGCCACCAAGGGAGGTAGTAGTATTGGTAATCATGTGAAGGTTTTCGGTAAACGATTCAAATTGCGTTGTAAACGAATTTTGGCATGAATATCTGTTTTAATGACTAATTTATTAATTATTTTTGAACCATATTTGCGATTTTGTTCGGTGAAATGGCGATAGCCAAAAGCGCTTAAAAGCCTTTCGTGCTTTTGTATTTGTGGTCGGTGGACGCCGACAGAGCACTTAACGATAGCAGATTACTGTATCGGCAGATAGCTGTTGTAGTGTTTATAGTTTATTGCACAAGAGTACTAAAATAGTAGTA